AAGCCCTCCAAGAAAGAATGGGATGTATATTCCTTATAGTAAGACGGAGTACAATAGGAGAATACCCGTTACACTTGCCTCCCTCCTGCCTCGACTGGGAAAGGCCGGCTTGCCAGGTCATAAATGCTGCATTTCATAAATTTTCGCCTTTGTAACTGCAAGTACAGTCCAGTCAAAAATATGGTTTTTAATACGAACTTCATGTACTTGAACTCTATTCCACATTGAAGCAACAGTCCAGCCTGAAATTTATTTTGTAATTCTAAACATTATGGAGCCGAAATTTTACATTATATCAAAGAATTGTTTCTAAAATGACAAAAATATGACCTTATTTCAAAATTATTCCAAAATATGCTGTAAAACCAATAAAACTCTAAAATATGCATTTATATGCACAATAAAAACGACATAATTTCAATAAGAATGACTGGAAACATGCATAATTACATTTAAAAATAGGAATAAACCCTAGGAAAGAAATATGACATGTCATAGAAATCCGGGCCCTACTAATAACATTTAAATATCCTAGTTCTGAAGTTCCACATCTTTGATGTGTAGAAAGCTAAATGAATATGAAATGGGGATAAGTAAAAATACTAATAAAATTCTGATATGGGATTATAAGAAACTTTCTTCTATAAAATTTTAATGTAAATATGAATATTTTGTAATGTATGTTACATGCTTTGGCCACCATTTTAGGTTGCTGCTTGAGAAACTAGTGAAGTGGGACGGATATCAACAGTTTTTTGCTATAGTACAACTGATTGCATCAAGGAAATAGGCTGAAAAATATGCAGATAGGTTAGAACTGAGAGTCCAAAGAAGACATTTGTCATTGGAATTAAGACCAAGATCCATCCATGAATCAATTTCCATAATAATCATGAACTCTGACTGGCTGTGCAGTAGCCCTTCTATACACTGAGGGGAGGGAACATGAAGAAACGTGTGAATTCTGGCCATACTCCTGTCCGTGCCTGGGGCCCTATCTGTATTGCACGTGGCAAGGTTCCCTTGAACAGGTAATGCGTCACCTTATGGTGTGTCATAATTCAATCGAATCTCTTCAAGGAGAGGATGATGTATTCTCAGCAACAGACATCAATAAGCCAGTATCAAGGACCTGGGTCAAGATGCAGACATGCTTTGGCCACCATTTTAGGTTGCTACTTGAGAAACGAGTGAAGTGGGACGGATGTCAACAGTTCTTTGCTATAGTACAACTGATTGGATCAAGGAAACAGGTTGAAAAATTTGCATATAGGTTAGAACTGAAAGTGCAAAGAAGACATTTGACATGGGAATCAACACCAAGATCCATCCACGAACCAGTCTTCGTAATAATCATGAACTCTGACTGTATGGGTGTGCAGTAGCCCTTCTAGACATTGAGAGGAAGGAACATGAAGACGCATGTGAATTCCGGCCATACTCCTGTCCGTGCCGGGGTGCCTCTTGCAAGTGGCAAGGTTCACTTGAGCAGGTGGTGCCTCACCTTATGATGTGTCATAATTCAATCGAAACTCTTCAAGGAGAGCATATTGTAGCCGTCCACCGACGTACAGCTGCCACGACTGTCGCTCGAGCTTGAGTTCTTAATCACAGGATACGGGTGCTTCGGAGATGGGAGTGGAACACACTTCGGGGTTTATGAATCCGGGGGGGGCCTCCAGAACACACCGTGGATTGCAGTTTTAATTTAAAATGTCATTAATATTTACATTGTTCTCCAAGCTAGCCGCTCCGTCCGCCGACTAGCTACCACTACTCTTAAACACTTCTCTCTTCTCTATCTACCTTCCAACTACTGTGCTCCTTCGCTCCCTATAACCGACCCCCATCTTTAAAAGTCCCCCAGTTGGCATCAGAAAAACAAGAAAATAACAAGAGAACGCCAAGGGTCGAGCCCGACATCTGCCCTACATTCGTATTTTTCGAGATGCCCATAAACCTCTGTAGATCTTCAAGGAATCCAAGACCCCTCCTGGCCGGTCTCGCACACTGTCAGTTCATGGGTTTATGATATACTGGGAGTAAACAGGCGACGTTAGGGTCAATAGCGGCACCCTTAGCCTAAGGAGGGCAATAGCGGAATTACAACTAGACGGTCCCGGGATGGTATCTCGCCGATGGAGCGTCTCTCACGGTATTAAACAATGCATAAGTAGTTCATACCCTTAATTATATAATTTTGACGAGGGACGTACGGTTACGATATTGTGTTCTCAGCAACAGACATCAAGGACCTGGGTCAGGATGCAGCCATGCTTTGGCCACCATTTTAGGTTGCTACTTTAGAAACGAGTGAAGTGGGACGAACGGCGTTAAGGAGGGAGCACTGTGACCTGTTGCGCAATGGAGGACAGCCCATCACCCCGCCAGCGGTGACGTAACACGGGATGCCGCCGTTGCTAAACAGCAGTAAACAACTCCCGACAGCGTTACTAGCAACACGGCGCCAGACAACAATGGTGCCTATTACGTGGCTGTTTTCTGTGTTGTCCGGAACGAGCAGCGAAGACTATTCACAGTTAGTTCTCAAGTTCTCCAGTTACGAGTTCACGAGTTAGTTCTCAAGGCAGCAGTTACGAGTTACGAGATAGCCAGCAGTGAGTCAGTCACCAGCTAATTGCAGCCCAGTATTAGTGATACTGCCAATGGCAGAAAAGTTGAATCTGTAAATTGTGTGACTGTAAGAGCGAATGTGCAATAAAATTCGTTATATCCAGTAAGGCTTGAAGTTATTTGTCGCATTATACACCCAACACGTGACAGTAGTCACAATAGTTACGGAAGCAAGGTGGTTGAAAATAGAATTTTTCTGTCCTACATTCTTGCAACCAACCGACTTTCCAGGCGTCCGTGTTAGTGAGATGGGAGTGAGCGCCACAGCTGTAAGGGAAGCGGAAACTCCGTCTTCTTTAACCTTTTAGATATGAACAGAGAGAGGAAAGTGGAGGTGGAAGCAGTGAGAGAAGAGGAAGTGGTGGTGGAAGCAGAGGGAGAAGATAAAGTGGAGGTGGAAGCAGTGAGAGAAGAGAAAGTGAAAGTGTAAGGAGAGAGAGAAGAGGAAGTGGAGGTGGAAGCAGCGAGAGAAGAGAAAGTGAAAGTGTAAGGAGAGAGAGAAGAGGAAGTGGAGGTGGAAGCAGCGAGAGAAGAGAAAGTGGAGGTGGAAGCAGTGAGAGAAGAGAAAGTGAAAGTGTAAGGAGAGAGAGAAAAGAGAAAGTGGAGGTGGAAGCAGAGGGAGAAGAGAAAGTGGAGGTGGAAGCAGCGAGAGAAGAGAATGTGGAAGTGGAAGGAGAGAGAGAAGAGGAAGTGGAGGTGGAAGCAGCGAGAGAAGAGAAAGTGAAAGTGTAAGGAGAGAGAGAAGAGGAAGTGGAGGTGGAAGCAGCGAGAGAAGAGAAAGTGGAGGTGGAAGCAGCGAGAGAAAAGAAAGTGGAGGTGGAAGCAGCGAGAGAAGAGGAAGTGGAGGTGGAAGCAGCGAGAGACACAAAATTTAAGGGGGAGGGATGTCCTCTGAAGGTTCCCATGCCGTACCCTCTCGCCCTTCTAGAGGTACGTTTGAGGGAGGGTAAAGCGTTGGAAAATGAAGAAGGAAGTAGACTTTGTTGTGAACAGAGGAAAGAACTTGAGCGGGGGGTTTACTGCTTCTGGTTAGAATTTTGATATCAACGTTGGAAGGACTGCAGAAGAGTGAAATTTTTAACACTGGGAGGACTACATTATGGACAAACTTTTGAGTTACATTTGGAGGTGAGGTGGGGGGGTGAACGTAAAGCACGCAGTGCAACGTGAAATTTGCCGAAGAAGAGATAATAGAAGCAATAAAGCACAACAGTGGAGCAGGTGGAAGTGAAAGTGAAAGTCAAGGGGAAAGGGGGATACATTTTATTGCGGGGGGGGAGCATCGTTTTGTTAGGTTCCCATGCCCTGCCAGTTTGACCTTCTGATAAGAGTAACGTGTTGCTGAGGAAGGGGAGGTGGTGAAAGAGACTACATTTTAGGGTAAAAGTTAAGTTGTTTTTGTGCCCAACGAATTTGAGCACTACGCCATGAAGGCGTATGGAGGAGTGAATGTATAGATCCATATTTTCTTGACCTCTACACTAGGTGGAGGTGAGTGGTCAGCTTCACACCCCGGCCGCTTTACCCACGGTGAAAGACCCTGGTACCGATTGGATAGGAGGTTGGGTGGACCCCAGAGCCGGTCTGAACTCACTGAAGAAGAACAAATTCTTCACCGTACTGGGACTCGAACTCCGATTCGTTCAGCCGGTAGTCAGTCGCTATACCGACTACGGTACCCCGGCCCCTACATTTTATGGACGGAACACAAATTTTCCGGCTTTGAAGGTTCTCTAACAGTGCCCGCTTTTCCTTCTGGTAGAGATACGTTTGAGAGGGGGTAAAGATTTAGAAGGTGAAATATCTAAAGGGTTGGATGTGAACTTTGTTATCAGCAGAGGGGAGAGGTTCAGTAGGGTGTTTACTACTTACGATCAGAATTTTGATATTGGCGTTGGAAGGGCTGTGTTGCTGAAGCCCGCATGTAGAATGTTCAGCAACTCAGTTCACACCTCAGGAAAAACATCCCACGTCTTCATTACAAAGACCTACCGGATAATACTGTTTAGGGAAAAGATGTGTTATTTTTAATTGGTGTAAAATCCAGAGTGAATGTATGTGACAGTATGTTGAATAAACAGTCGCGGACAGCAGGCAAGGGGTGGTCCTCAAGTTGGGGGGGGGTTGGGCCTGGGTCTAACAACTTCTTTTACCGTGAAATACAGGGTGTTCAATCAAGGAGGAAACTTCGCAACACCGTTGACCGGGCCCAACATTCCCCACAGATTGCTGCTGTAACTGTAACGCCGCGCGTTTATCAGCGCAAATGACTCATTCTGCTATCAGCAGTTACAGCAGCAATCTGTGGGGAATGTTGGGCCGGGTGAACGCACTGTATAATCTTGCTGGACCTCGGTCTTGGTCGAATGATGAAGTCAAAGAAGATGAGGTGGGTAGGAGATGTTCATGTATTTATCACTCTGCTTCGGCCTGCTAAAACTCGTCTGCTTTCTTTTAATTTACAGCGGCCTTTCACTGTGCAGTGGGACACTGATACGGTACAGGAGAACCAAGCGGCCGCCCGGGGTGGCCCATTTTAAAAATATTTTGTTTTTTATTGAATAAAAATCAGTTTCTTCTGTTCATATTGTGGCCTTTAATTGGTAGTAATCTAAACACGTCACTCATTTCATCAGAATATCTGGGAATTTTATGTTGTTATCACGCCAACGTTTTGAGAAAGTTGATCTGTTTTTAAACGTTAGGCGCGGCAGAATCTTCTCGTCTCCTAGGGCGGCTTACACCGGTCGTGAGCCAAGAAGTGCGAGAAACTCAATGCCAACATATACATAAAAGCCATTAATCTCATGTCTACAAATTATATCCCTTGGCTCTTTAAAAGTATGAGTACGCTTAAAATTAAATGTAGGATATTATATATACATTATTACATACTGTATGGTGCATGTGTGTGTGTTTTCGTTTTACCTGTCAGACACAACAAAAACAAATATCAACTCACATTCCGCTTTGCATATCTGAATTTATTTGGTTGTACAGCGTCGCTACGTGTGTTTCGGATCATGGGGCCCATCATCAAACTGCCTAACTCTACTGAATTGTGCTTTCTGTATGGATCCATATGTTGTGTGTACTCGTGTATTTACAGCGTGCTTCTCTCACTCTTACTATTCAACATTATATGCACAAATTAAGTGGTTCTACACTGAACCTAACTTACTTACTCATGGAGCTGAGCCCTTCTGCAGCTACTCAAGAATTTCCTAGCATTTTATGGAACCCGAAGGTTCATTACCGTGTTCACAGGAGCCCTCCACTGGTCCCTATCCTGAGCCAGATCTATCCAATCCATACCATCCCGACCTATCTCTCTAAAATCCGTTCTAATATTGTCCACCCACCTACGCCTTGGTGTTCCCAGTGGTCTCTTTCCTTCTGGCTTTCCCACCAATATCCTATATGCATTCTTCTTCTCCCCTAATCGTGCTACATGCTCTGCCCACCTCATCCTCCACGACTTGATCATTCTAATTATATTTGGAGAAGAGTACAAGTTATGAAGCTCCTCATTACGCTATTTTCTCCAACCTCCTGTCACTTCATCTCTCTTCGGTCCAAACATTCTCCCCAACACCCTGTTCTCAAACACCCTCAGTCCATGTCCCTCCCTTAATGTCAGAGACCAAGTTTCACACCCATACAGAACCACAGGCAAAATTATAGTTTTGTATATTCTAATTTTTATGTTTTTGGACTAAATGTATAAAATAAGCATTTAAATTTATTAAAA